CACAAGTCAGTGACATGCTCTGCGTGGTATGCCACATTGATAATTCTTCTCCAAAGATCTTTCAGCTGCTCTTGCTCATTTCGTCCATCCATTTTATCCGTGAGGCAAGTCCTCAGTGACTGCAGCTCCTTCTGAACAATCACAACCTTTTGCTTTACAAAAGGGATAAAATTGGCATTCTTTTTTTGCATTTTCGCTAAATTTTCCAAGATGAAAGCAATATATCCGGTTCCATGAGTCCTGAGAGAATAAAATTCTGATGCATCTGGAATGTAGATGTAGAACTTTCTGACCACTTCCCGGAGTGTCTTAATCTTTCCTAGGATTTCAGACAAAAGAAAATTCTTCTTTTTGATGACATTGTCATTCATTTCCTCCAAACAGACTGAGGAAAGGAGAGATGCTGCCTCAATGACAACGGCATGAGCTTGTGTGAGGATTTCATCTTCACAGTCCTCTGGTGAATCCATCAGAAATGCTATTATGATGATAAGCCCTTCTCGAATGATCTCAATGCGGTCCCTGAAAACAGCAGGAGTATCCTCCAGCAGAATGTTGACAAAGTCTGCAACAATTTCACCCATCAGAGAAGTGTCATACGCTGACAACTTTAAAGCTTTGAGGACTCCAAGACACATCCCCGTAACCCCTGAAGCACAAGGCCAACTCTCCTCATGCAGATCAGAAATCATGGTATTCATTCTGCACTGCATGTTTTCATCATTTTTATTGATCCAGCACAAAAATGATAGACATGCTACTTTGTTAGCCCAAGAACGGATATGAACCAACAAATATTCAAATTTCTGATGCTCATAGCAACGTTGTGCGGTGAAATAAAAAAACTTTCTAAAGAACCTTAGTTTCTCTTCAAGGGCACTAATATGCTTACTCAGTGGAGCAATCTGTTCATCTTCCGAGTGACGAAGATCCTTAAGATTCGTGATGATACAGTCCATGAAATTGAAGACCTCTCCAGTCAGAGAAGCCTTGATGAATTCTACTGAGAAATGAAGCATAAAATTGCAATTCTTTCTAATATCAGACTTAAACTGCTCAACATTTTCTAGCAAATTAGAAGTCAGAAGATGCCAATTTCTACCCTTTTTCTTCCGGATTGCACAGAGACCAGCTGAATAAAGGCCCTTATTTGCTACTTCTACTGCAGAACTAATGGAATTAAGAGCGAACTGCAACTGACAATTCTTACCAGCTTCTTCGGACTTGGGCAAGCACCAGAGAAACATCTTCAGGAAATTTAGCTCCACTTGAAACTTTTGTATTTGATCCTTCATTCGATCAGTTAAGCCTCGTTCATTTCCTAGGCGTGTTAACTGTTCCATGGTGGAATCAAGACAAGTATTTGCCATTTTCTTCTCCTAAATTTGTCCTCAGATCTTTCTTTAGAGCATCAAAGAAGATGATTCAGGGGAACTTGATGGATATGTGAACAACCATTTGGTATCTTTCTTTGTCAATGACTCTGACTTGCAGTTCTACCATCCAATTATTCCGTTCACTTTACATTAAAGCTACTCGGTGCTAGTACTTCTTTTTATTTAAGTAAAGAAAGAAACTAGCGTGATCACTGAATATCATATGTTGAACTTTGACGCATGTCTCCATGACCACGGGTAAAAGATGGTCCTCCAATTATCTTAAGTACGTCAATCCCTGTAAAATTCCTGGAACTTTCATGGATACATACATAGATAGCTTCATCATCCGTTTACCTTCCATGGATAGCTTCCCACTGGTGCTTATTACGCGTTTATAGGCGCACCTAGTTTATACAAAATAAAAACAAAAACAAAAAATAAAAATAACATGCAAACGATATTCACATTTATGGTTAAATACTTCTTTACTCAATTTCGATTTGTTAAAAATCTAGTGCCTTCGGTCCAAGTAGAAGTGTTAAGATCAGTGATTTGGGCAGGTTTAGGCAAGTCATTATCGGGCAATGAATATAATTGGGTTAATTCATTTATACGTATTTTATAAATGGATCAAAATGAGTCAATCTATTTATACCTATTTAAACAATCGATATGAGTATACCCAATTACCCATTTATGACTTACTTAAAATTTTTATTATTTTTAAAAAAATTTCTGCATGTTATTTGACAAAAAATAATGATATTTTATTATTATTAGATTGGTAAAAAATTCAAATTTATTTGCTTAATATCTACTAAAAATTGAGTTTAACTGTATAATTATTTTTAAATAAATATAAATGGTTAAGCAAATCAGCCTATTATCTGCTAATTAAATGTGTTTAATTGAGTACTCATATAAATTCATTCAAAATTCATTGCACACTAAAATTCACTTATTAATGAATGAGTTTGGACAGATCAATATTCAATAGTATTGGGTCGTGCATATATACTGTTTAAAAACCATTGGGACCGGAATAGGAGTGAAAGAAAATTCAATTTTGGAAGACAAAGAACTTGGGTTTAACTTTAACCGATCCCTCATAGTAATAAAATATTGGGTTCACAATCAATTAATCGTTTGTTGTACTTGAGACCTACCAAAAAGTCCTGAAAAAAAAATTCTTAATGTCGAGTGGAGTAGGTATTTTTGCTCGAAACATAAAGTAAAGTTGTTGAGCGTTTATCTTTTCTTTCTTTAATTTGTTTTTAAACTTTTGGGGGCCATGAACAGAACGAAGCATATTGACTTGGTGAAAACTAGAAAACAAGCCGTTTGGTAACGGGAATCCTAGGACGTGTTTTTAATTCGAATTTATCAATCCATTTTAAGAGATAAAATTAAAGAACGGCCGGTGCTCAGGCTATTTAACGGGTGCTCATTAAACATTTATTAAAATATAGTGTAGGTGTCATATTTTTAAAAATATAAGATTAATTAAGAAAAGCAAATAAGTATAACGAAGGGTAAGTAAGATTAGATAAGAAAAGTATATGAATGTAAAAAAAGGTAATATTTGTTAGTATGTAAATATACATTATAGGTTAAATGAATTTTAGATGTATTATATGAGTGTCTAATGGGCTTGACACTCGTTAACAAAAAATTCATTAAAGAAGAGTTATAATGTCTTATTCTTATTTGATGAAAATATTTTGTCTTTTGTTTTATAAGACAAAAATCATATTTTGTTGTGGACTGAATAAGACCAATAACTGCAACAAAATGTGTTTTGACCATGGTTTTATCAAGGTTGTGTATCCCCTTCTTTTTTATCCATTTACTCTTGCTTCTAATGACAAGTACCCTTGCAAAAATATTTTGAGAATATTACTGCTAACAATTTTCCCATAATGTCCCAAATGAAGCAAAAGTTTAACAAATTCCAATCATGATGCTTCAAACAAAACTAATTTAAACTAATCTAGAAAAAGGATCAGTTAATACTTTTAACTATTATTGTATAAAATTTTATTGAAATGAAGCTTGTTTATTATGGTTAGAAAAAGGGATAATTTCAGAAATCTTTCCCTAGGTTTCTAATAATTTTACTGACCTCTCCCGAGATTTATAAAATCACACTAACGTCCCTTGAGGTTAAGGTTTTGGTAACAAAATAAATCAAAGTAAAAAAAAAGTATCATTAAAAATGTACTTTGAGGAAAGAGATGAAACTTTTATTTCTTAAATGCTCCTTATGCATGTGTACAAGTTCTATTAGTAAAAGAATGAAAACAATTAATACACATATTTTACTACTCAAAAAGTTCACATTTAACACATTAGACAACACAAATAAGCAAAAAACTATACAAATGATCACGAGATTTAGCAAAACAGTTGACATATCTCTTTTAACATGAGGTTTGCTATGATTTTTGTCAACTATACAACTAATTTCTGATAATTGCCAAGTTCTATCACTCACAAAATGGCTCCATTTGGTATATCAATTAGCATCATTTTGTAATCACAAGTTATTGTTCATTATTAAAGAAATTCCCATCAGTTATTTTCGTTAATTAGTTACTATCAATTAATTAATGCCGTAATTACTCAATCATCATATATTAGTTTCTAATAAGATATAATGTTTTAGGGTATATGAGTAATTTCCACCCATGTGATATAAGTAATTGGGCCCACATATCCATTAGGGAAGGTCAGTATAATTTTGCAAACCTCAAGGGAGACTTATGAAATTGTCAGAAACCTTAGGGGAGGTTTCTAAAATTATCCCTTGAAAATTTATTCTTTTAGGTCTTGAATTAGGATTAATGTAACCAAAGAAAAGCAAAGCATTGGAGTAAATGGCCGCTTAAATAGACAAATCCATATCAACATTCTATCAATAGTAGAATTGTATAAGCAAAATATTGAACAAGAAGCAATGTGGCCCTTATCATTCACTCAAACTTGTAGATTTATATGTGCTTTTTCCTAATCTGACTAGGGACTATAGACGTATCTAAATTTTATAGGGATTTAATTCCAGATCCAATTCCGATTAGATTCTCAATTTATCATATGGAACCAAATATAACCTTAATTTTTTTTTGAAAAGATTGACCATCCATAATCATGTTACGTTGTTGATGGTTATGAGTCAAAAAATCTTTTTTTTTTTTTTGAGATGAATGTTTATGTAATCGATCAAACGTTCTGTTCTCGTCCTTCATTTTTTTGAATAGAGACTTCAATCGGATCGATCAGTACATCTTCTGTTCTGGTATTCATTTATTAAGCTTCTGGCCGGAGGTCTCTGAAAAAGCTTATAGCTTGATTAAACACCTAAATTTCACAAAAAAAAAAAAAAAAAAAAACACTCGGTACATTGGACTGTGATTATTAGAGAACAGAAGAAAACACTTTGTACAAAACAGAATGCAGAAATTAACTATTCAAAGTCCTTTCGGACAATCAAATTTGTTCAAGAGAGCGAATTGGATCGAAAGAGCCAGTCTTGTCGAAGCTGAATTCGTAAAGAGCAGCATGGAAAATGTAAGGTCCAACGTCCATAAGAGAAGTAATTTTGTGGAAACTCAGCCTGACTTCTCAAGGATTTGCAGATTGTTTCTGAACCTGACAGAATACGCTAGTCTTCTTCATATATGCAGAATTGCATATTGGGTTGCCAATCAAGCTGTTGTACACGACATCAAAATATTATCACAATTGAGTACGAAGCAGAAAAGGGATTAACTGAAATGTTATCTTTTATAGTGATTTATGAAGGTCACGATTAATTGGCCTCACTTTAGTTTACTTTTGAACACAGGATCAATTGATATTGAGGATATGCCATTGTTCTCCAAATCAACGCTCAGAATATTTTGGTTGATGTTGCTACCAATAAGCAAAGTTCCATTGAATGCGTTATTCCTCAGACTCCTGCAAAAAGTTTGAGAAAAAGAAAATGCAGAGCTGTAGCCTTTAAAGTCCTATCTAGATTGCAAGATAAATGGGGGTGCTAAATTTAGTTTCTACACTTACACTACTGCAAGATCAGGCAAGCTGAAAAGGGTTGGGGGCAACAATCCACAAAGTGGTCCATTGTCGATATTCCTGAGAGTCGTGTTAAAACTTTCACATGATACGGATCAGAAAAGTTAAAACCTATTTCCAGTAGTTATGCCATTTGTGAACTTACAAAATGTTTAAAGAAGGCAAGGTTGAAAACCAAGCTGGAGCTTCCGACACCTCGAAAGAGTTGTTGCTCAATTCCCTGTTAATGAATAATAGGCCAACTCTTGTGTTGTAATCCAGAAAAATGGGGGCTAGGGAGAGATAAATTGAGTTGGATGATGGACATTCTGAAGGTAGTTCTTACACACGAAGTAGGGAATTCATTCCGGATAAGTTTGGTAATGGTCCAGACAGCCTATTGTTTGGCATGTCCCTACAAGAATGAAATAAGACATTATATATTGAAAGATTATAAGTAGTTTGATGGGTCATGGATATTATGTAATTAACTAAGCCAGCCTTGTTGAGTTAAACTGAGGTACTCACAAGGCAATGAGATTTGTCAGGTTGTTGATATTTGATGGAATCTTTCCAGCTAGGGAATTTTCGCCGAGAAATCTGTAATAGAGGACACAATAGAAGTGGATCTAGACTTTAAAACCACAAGAGAAGAGCCCTAAAGAAGATCAAAATGTCAAGATTTTTGAGTCTTGTAACAGGATGCAAAGGATGATGTAGAAAAGTTCACATACAGAGTTTGAAGTGTCTGAACAAGCCCTATTGTTAAAGGAATCCCTCCACTTAATTGATTTCCGCTAAGTAATCTGTCATTTAGAAGGACGAGACAGTGAAGAGTAACAACCAGTGCATGTGTGATATTTTCAAGGGGGAGATATCAGACTTACATTTTGTTGAATACCATATTAGAACTGAATAGTTTCTGCGGAATTGGACCTGATAGCTGGTTTCCACTGAGCACCCTGTATTGTCATAGAAACAAGACAGTTGATAACCAAGGGAATTAGTAGAAAAGGCGAAAAGTGGTTTCAGAAATCAAATTTTACTAACAAGTGTTTTAGATTATGAAGGAGGTCTAATCCTGGAATTCTGTAGGTTGATACAGGGATGGATCCTGTCAGCCGATTATCTGCTAGGTTGAGCCATGTTAGTTTGCTAAGATTACCCAAGGAAGGTGGTATTTCTCCGGTAAAGTTATTGCCATTAAGTGATCTGGAAAAGCAAGCGATAAAGGCGAAATTATAATAGGGTGAATCTTGCATGACAATATCACTGAAAACCAGAGTACCGTGTTTGAAGTTCTTACAGAAAGGACAATTCCTCTAGATTCCCCAACTCAGCTGGTAAGGTCCCAGTGAAGCTACATTCTTCAAGAACTCTAGGCAACAGAAAAAGAATCAATAATTAGGTTTTCTCTCTGTTCAGCTTATCTCAAGATAAGAACTATAAACTAGAAAAGGGATTGCCAATAATTTGCCATAGAACACAAGTAGCATTCTGCTGAATCTTACAAGGTCTCCAGATTTTGCAATGCTCCTATCTGCGGAATTATGCTACCTGAAAGTTCTTTGTTAAAAGAGAGATACCTGGAAACCATAATCGATAAATATTAGTACCTGATCATGCTAATTGTAACCGGATTCCACAACCACTTCTGGTTCTGTCTTATTGGGATTCTGAGATGAAATAATATAATTTGCTTACAATCCAGTCACTCTTGAGTTGATGCAGGTGACTCCTTCCCACGATCCACCACAAGGATCATCTGACTCGCTCCAGCTTGCTGGTGTATTATGCCAATGTTCTCTCAAATAGCACAGCACTGCAGCTGCACTTAGCCATTTGCTCTAGTTAGTAAAGCAAAAGCATGCATCAATCTATATAGTCAACTGAAGAATAATGGCACTTTACCATCTCCGGGGTCGGTCTCAGAGGAGATTAAACTACATCCTGCAGGCAAGAGTAGGCAGCAGATTAGTAGCTTGATGACTGCCATGGCTGAAAAATTCCTGCAACTGAAACTTGAAGATGTTTAATGTGCTAGTTTTGCTTGCATTGCATGAACTATGGTATGACCTTATATAGGATCACATGAGAAGTGTACCATATCGTTGCTAACAATAAACTGACATATAATTATGTTTCATCAAATTCTCTGTAACCCCCGAAAGAGTTGTTAATAACAAATAAAAACTAGAGAACAAAGCAAAGTCGGCATGCATACTTCCCCATTGGTGTGCTGGAAATTGCCATCTTTCTTTCTGATTATCATGGATAATATTTATAATCTAACTCTGAACTTTTCTATATTCTACACAGAAATTTTCAATAGTAAGTAAACATCATGAGTGGGTGGATTACTTTCATTGACAAAAGCCAAAGAACAAACCGGTGGAATTTAGAAGTTGATCAGAGCTTGCAGGAATAATGATAACAAACTTTGAAACTTGATACTACGCTAAAATGAAAAAAGAAGGGAAAAAATTCTTTTTTTTTTTTTAACCTAGCAAGAGTTTATTAAGAAACTAAATGATGATACACACATATCCTGAAGATTACCGTTTGCAATGTGAGTTTTTTGGGTATTTATCTAAAACTTTACTATAATTTACTGTAGAAGTTTTTAAAAAAATTTTTGAAGTATGGTTTTTTTTTTGAATATTTTGAAATATATAGTTTAAAAACTTTGAAATTTTTTTTGAGATTACTGTAGCTAAAGTTTTTAAAAAACTTGTAGCAGACAAACTTGGCAAAAGACTTGGCTTCCAAACAAGACTGCATGCGATGCCAACTCATGCAATTAGCGTTTCATTAAGCCTCTAATTAATCTATGTTTAAATGATTTAAGTCCAAATTAGGTAAATTACTTGGTTCTTTTATTGTTAATTTTTGGTTAATGATTTTGGTATTCCAAAATAACCTTTAGGCACTCCACTTTTACTTTTTCTTATGGTCCAACTTACTACAATATCCACATAAAGTTACAACATCGCCCTTCTATATTGAAATCCTTTCATTGATTTATGAAATACCATAAAATATACTAATAAATGATACATAGATTATGATTTTAGGACTTTTCTTAAGGTATAAATTGTAAAAGCAATTAAAAAATAATACTTTAAATTAAAAATGCAGCTAAAGATGGTAACTCTATCATCATGCACAAAGTAACTTGTGTTGTCGAAAGAAATCAACTAACACTAGTACTGTTAATAACAATGGCGCAGAAGTCTATATAATGAAATTTACTAGATTTTATCATTGCCAAGTTCCATTGACAAATTAATTCTCTTTATGAACTTTTTTTGGTACAAATTCTCTTTATGATTTTAATTATAAAAAGAAACTCTTCTTGTATGATTTGATAGTTCTATAATCATCGTATTTTCAACTAATGATAAATGGGAAAGGAGAAAAGAGAAAGTTTGAGAGTCGAACTAAGAACTTTATACATGGTTGCTAATGTGTTTACTAGTTTAGTTGAATCTTGGAAATTGATAACATTTTATCAATTCTTACAAAAGATAAACCATTTCGTAAATCCAACTATAGCTTTTGTACCCAGACCATCTCAGCATTAGAGAATGGTCTTATTAAAGAATGGGATTAGGCATAGTAGATGCCTACTTAAAATAGGAATCTTTTTACCTTTCATCGGATCATATGCTTGTCCAAATCATACTTTAATTTTTTCATTTTTCATTTTTTGTTTGTAAGACAATTTTTTGGATCTATCTATACATCAGGAGCTTTCATTACCAAAAACTAAAGTTTACAAAGTAGGGAAAAAACCAACAGCAACTTTATTACATGCAAGGCAGAAAAATACAGGAGCTGCTTTTGTTACCAAAAATTAATGTTTGTAGGGTAGGAAACAACCAACAGAATTCTAGAAGAAGAATTAAAGTTTGAAAGCAACTGCCTTCAATCATAGTAGTGATTTTCTGTTTTGTTTTTGGGTTGGGGATATCAAACTATCTTTTTGGATCAATTGGTTTGGCCATGCACCTGTGAACGCTAGTGTGTAGTTTTCCATTGGCTTTACATATATGGACTAAGCCAATCATTTACAACTCAGCTCTTTCGGGCATTTGCTCTGAAATCTGGCTCTTACAGGAATTTTTACAAATGTTGCGCCACAATTCAATAATGGTTTAACGATGTTATTGAAGATTGAATATATTCATAATTTAATTCACGACTGATCCATGAAGATTAAAATATTAAAAAGTTGAGACTTGTAGAATAAAAATTGAAGCAAAAAATAAAGAATAAACTTGTAAAGATAGCTTAACGAGACAAACATGCTAGTTCTAAAAATTAGATGACTTAAAAACCAATTTGAGTAGTTATATATAGGGCAAATTACATTTTACCCTCCTGTGGTTTAGTGTTTTTCTACGTAACCCCTCATGATTTCAAAAACTATGCATAACTCCATCATTGTTTGGATTAAAGTGTTAAAATGACAGAAATAGTTATTTATAACGGAACTTTTAAAAATATCGAAATTACCCTTATAAATACATGACACACTCATCTCGTATAATTTTTATGTTTTACCATATAATTCTCTTATGATTTAATACTTTTCCATATAATCCCTTTATGGTTTTCAAAATATATACAAAACCTCCCTTGGTTAATAAATAAATTTAACTTTACATAAGGGTATTTTTGACATTTTAGATGACTCCGTTACGAATGATCATTTCGGTCACTTTGACATTTTAATTCAAACCATGAGGGGGTTATATTTATAACTTTTGAAACCATAGAAGGGTAATGTAAAAAAAACTAAACCACAGGAGGGTAAAGTAAAATTTGCCCTTATATATAACAAATCTTAAACAAGAAAGATTGTATATGCAAACCCAGAGCAGGTAAAGTTCTGGTTTGGTCTGATTTTGTGGCTGTTTTACTTCTTACATGATTTGACGTACACACTACTGTAATCTTATTGTACGTGTTAATTTTGTTGGTATAAACCAACTAAACGTAAGTGATAATAGTTGACAAAAATTTAAACTTTATGTAAGTAAATTTTATGCAAGTAATATCATGCAAAGTGACTTAGGAAGTAGAATCCATGATCTGTCTTGCATTAGTATCTGCTTGAATTTGGAATCAATGATCGTTGAAGATATGCTGTTCTTCAGCTAATCAACAGTGTAAAGTAGAGGGCTAATGTTTGGACCAGTATATAATGTCTGGCTGAATTAATGCATTATTCATAGAAAATATAATAGATAAGTAGAATGAAAGTTTGATCTTGAAGTTGAAAATACTGTTAAAACTTACAAAAAAAAAAAAAACCTAGGTGAAGAGAAAAGGCTCCGAGGAACAATTCCATGAAATGGTTCATAATCGACAAATCTGAACTGTATCTTGTTAAATCAGTCATATGATGTGCATTTTGGTTCAAAATTCGTCATAGTTTTTTCAGGTAAATTTCATTTTTAAACTTGCCACTATATCTCAACTAAAATTTTACCTATGCCTTAGCACGGTCTTTTTTATTTATTTATTGTGAATTTATACAAATATGAACAATTTAAATATAAAAATTAATAACGGTTCTACATGTGCATTCATATTAATTTAAAAAAATAATGTATATTTTATGTTCAATTATTTACTAATTTTTAAAAATTTATTTACATACCTTCAGTATAATATGATAGTATACATCAATGGTTGTAGATAGGTTGGCAACAGTATGGGGGTAAGGCAGTATGGTTTTTAATTCATATCAACAATTGTCTAGGGATGTTCGTGCATGCTTAGCTTTAGATATCAGGGAATTTCTATCGATTAGATGTGTTTCTTGTTAGCTAGTTTTGGATGTTGATCCAAGTATCTTGGACTCTTTGTACTTTTTACTTTATGGAATAAATAAGGGAGTTCTGCCTCTCCTCGAGTTTGGGGATTTTTTGGCAAAAAAAAAAATATGATAGTATATATCAAATAATGTACCCCATATTCAAAACTTTGTAGATAATTTAAATTTTTATAATGACCATAAATCTATAATTATGTATTCATACTTAATTAAGTAGAAAAAGATCCATTAATCCATTTTTCTTCATCAATAAATATACAATTTCAATAATATTGGTAAATCTATCGGTATAATAGTTAATTCTCTTTTTTATACTCAGTTAATTCAAAATTAAAAAGAGGTGTTAATTTAAAATTAAAGATAATATTTAAACATATAATATAATCATTGTAATAATTTGATAGAAAGCAGATATCACTAAGATAAGATTAGTTATTTTTTAAAGTTATTTTAAAATTAGAGATAATTTTTAAACACATAATATAATCCAAATATGATTCAGTATAGATAAAACCCAAGTGACCCATAACCTGTTAATTCTCTTTAATTAGGCATGCCACATAGGAGTAAGAAACACTGTGAGTAAAATAGCTACTTTCATATATATATATATATATAGATTCCTCTTTCGATCCTTAAATAAGAAAAAAAAAAGGAGTTTAAGGATCAATTAGCAAAATCAAGGTGTAGTCTTGGACTAAAGTGTCCAAATTTAGAGTGTAGGGCCTAAAGTTGAGAACTAAAATATAGTTTAAGGACTAAAGTATTCCAATTTAGAAGTAGATCAAAGTGAGAATTCTGGATATAGTTAAAGGGTATAAAATGGAATTAACCCCTTTTTTGTTGCATTGACCAGCTCACTATAACGAGCTTTGCAAGTTGTCCCTCGTACATGTGATAATATATCTATAGTAGAATTTTGCATGAGAATTAAACGTGTTTCCTATCCTATTAAATTTCTATAAGTGATTGTTGATTTTCGGGGCATAAATTAATCAACAATACCTTAGTGTTGCAAAAAAGGAAAAAAAAAGGTTTATGAGAGAGTTGTACTAAAGGTTAAAAAAAACCTTATATTTTTCATTTATCAACTCACTATTTATAGCGTTTACATAAAACAAACCAACATGAATTTTGGTTAATAAATTTCCTAACAACAGAACTTATTTAGCACTAACTAAATTATTTTAACACCAAACACAATCTAATAAAATTTGTAGGAAAAATTGGCATATCCGAAGGTGATGCAGGTGATTCAATCTGGAAAAGATTTATTAGAGCATTAGAGGCATAGAATTTGTATTAGCCCTTGGTTAATGCTCTGACATTGCTAAACCCAAGTGGATTGGAGATGCAGATTTGTGGGATTAGCACAAGGCGCTGTTAGAATTAAAGAAAATTGTGTTTGTGCCCGAAAACTGCTGATATGGTGTAAGACTTTTACCATCCTGGGATCAGTTTGACAGAAGCTAACAATAAATCCCACAGATACGAACATAAAGTAGAATATAGAGTTGTTGATTACCATTGCTGCTTGACAGGTGTCGAGCCTGTGCAATAATAAAGACCTGCTCAACGAAAATATAAATTTGCATATAGTGGTAAGTAGAGTCGATTCCGCAGGGATTGGGAAAAATTTGCTCTTTTTCAAGTTAAAACAGGATGGGGGGATTTTCAAAATTTAACGACTAATGGAATATCACCAAGGCAATGAAACGTGCAAAAGAAATTAGGAAAGACAATTAATGGAGAAAACTCTAGCCAATGTCATACTTCAGAGATGGTTCAAGTAACTGATCATTGATGCAATTATAATTTCAATAGTCATTAATAAGCAGGTTTTTAACTGTCAATACGATCTGACAGTCAGTTTCTCCTTACTGTTTCGATATTCAAGATATGACCATTGACTACTTCCCTAATTTAGAAATAACCCTAGGTACGACCATAGGATTTAATTCCCCAATTGCATTAGAAACTAGAGAAATTCTACTTTAATCAATAAACATGCTACGAGAGTTTATTTAAATTAGATGGCACGTTTCCCTGACACAAATCCAATTATGCCAATTGCTATCAGGATTAGAGCAGTCAAACAATTACGAATTAAACTATTCTAATTAGCAAATAGATTACGTGTATAATTAAATATTGCACACCTATTCAATCACACACACTAATCATACTCTATAAAGCAAAAAACGTACAAATATCAAAGAATAGAGGAAATAAATAAAATCAATTAGATTTCACAGTGATAACTGAACCAAATCTTCGATGTTCCTTGATTAGAGAAGAAATTTAGTTGCACATGGACAATTGAAACAATTCACACCAGTTTTCCAAAGCCAGCCACATAGGTCTTTGATAAGAGAAATACTAGAGAAACAAAAGACTAAAAGAAAGAGCCCTGCGGCTCCCTTCTAGGTATCAATCATGCGGGATGCCGGCTTCCCCTGCTATAAGTACTACCAATTCGGTACTTTCCTTGATCAACCGAGACTAGAATTCTAATTGACTAAGGTAACTCTAAGAATAATGCCAATTGTTTCCTAATAAGATATTTAATAAAAAGTGGCAGTTTCCTAATCTTCAACCAATACTCCATATAGACTCCATTTTGATTTGGAAAACTTGCGCTTGACAATCAACTCCAAGAAAATCACCCATTTTTAGTACTTTTTACTCCAATGCCCTACAATTAACATAAAACACCAAATATAAGTAGAATCCGACAATTAAAATAATATTTGGCTAAAATCAAGGAGAAAATAATTATAAATTTAGCAACAAATTATGACCTATCATTGCTTACTCCTATCAAATCACTGTGCTATGCCTACTACAATCTTTGCTGCATTATGGCATTACCCCTTGAATAGTAGCATCAGTTTAATTTTCCACGTTTATGATAGATGATTAATTACTTTAATTCAGACGTCAACGTTTATAAGGTTTTATAGTTTGTTCCGCCTAGCCAACCTTGTAAACAAGAAAAGTTTGTCAATTGGCTAAAGAGCAAATACTAGAAAACCAAAGTGAGAATCAAGTCAACGACATTGAAGATCAGGAGAAGTATAACAAAACTTGAAAAGTTGGAACAAAAGGTTACATGCAGCTAAAGTTTTCCCGATTTAATTTGGCATCTTTGTCATTTTCTTCTTTGTCTCCTCACTCAACTTGCTTTTCCTTCCCTTTTTATGAGTATTGATGGGATTGTGTGGCTTTTGCACATATCTGTTGAGGCTTATGCTGTCATTTAATTGAAATCTTCAGTTGAGTTTGGATTAAGCTTGAAATGTATTAGCCCATGAAGCAGCTCTTTTTCTTTTTTTTTGGGTTGAGGGGGAAAGAAAAGTGTTTTGGGGGGGGAGGGGATGGGATGGATGGGGTTGCTAAGCTGAAGCAGCTCTTTTGGTGGTAGCTTTTCAGTTCGATTACTCGTGGACAAAATATTCAACTTGTATTAAGTTGACTGAGAAATGAGAATATTTAAGTTGACTGAGAAATGAGAATATTTCAACACAGATAAACACACTAGCATTAAAACATTAATGCAGGAATCCGGATACAGTCTTATCTCATGAAATTCAAAATAGAAGACATTGAATAGGAAAATTACGATAAACTAAAACATTGATTTCTTCAAAATCGAAGAGGATGTAATGAGCCAATATCTTGAAGCTTTGTAAGAAGCTGCAGTGCAAGAAGAACCTCCAAAAGATATTGGAGGATTTTGGAAGCTTTGCTGTAGTTTCTCCAGGTTTTGCAGGTTGTTACTCAGACCGACAGAAACTTGTCGCTTTTGCAGGAGGAGAGCTACATACCGGGTTCCCAGTCAAGCTGTTGTACATAAAATGGATGCATTAGAAATGGGTAGAAAAGAAGGAGCCAGATTAATTTCACCTATTTTAATGGAAATCACGAAGAGAGTCTTACACTAGTGTACTGTTGAATTCTGAGTCGATAGATATAGAAGATATTCTATTGTTCCCCAAGTCAATAGATTGAATTTGATGGTTGATATTCCTATCAAAGCCTAATTTTCCATTGAATGCATTGTTCCTCAAACTCCTGCAAAAGTTTTAAAAACAAAAAAACAATGCTTTAGTACTTAAGATCCTCTTTTCTGGATTGTATTATAGGTACTCCACAGAATTGTGCATAGGATGCAGGCACTTAAAACTTACACAACTACAAGACGAGGTGAAGCAAAAAGGTTTCTTGGCACCAATCCTTTAAGTGGTCCATTGTCAATAATCCCGAGCACCACGTTTAAATTTTACGTTGATATTGATCAGAGAAGGCTTAAAACTGATAAATATTTTGTGGACAAAATAGTATACTAACAAAATTTCAAGGGATGGTAAGGTTGATAGCCAAGCTGGAGCTTCAGTTTCCTCGAAAGAGTTGTTGCTGAAGTCCCTGAGAAGAGAAAGATATGAAATAAAGTTGCCCTAGTAAATGTACGTAACCAGGAAAGCTTGATATCAGAGGAGAATGTGAAATTGTTTCGACATAAATATCTTACACTCGAAGTAAGGAATTCATTCCAGATAAGTTTGGAAGTCCGAAGTCGGCCAGTTAACTTGTTGTTTTGTATGTCCCTGCATGAACATTGTGATGAACTTCAGGTTTAACCATATATAAAAATATCAAATGAATAATACAACTTTTGTTGTCTCCGGAAGCAATACTCACAAGCCAAGAAGGTTTGTCAAATAGTTAATATTTGATGGAACACTGCCATTCAGAGAATTCCCACCCAGATGTCTGTATCAGAGGATGTGGAAAAAATGACACGCTTAACTTCAGAAACAGAATGTAGAATGAAGTCCTAGAAGGAAGATTGAATGCATGTAGGTTAAGCATTGTGCCAAAGAAAAAGGGATAAAAGTTTCACGTACAGAGATTGAAGTGTCCGAACTAGTCCTAGTGTGGAAGGGATTTCTCCAGTCAATTCATTTTCATCCAGTAATCTGTCATACAAAAGCAGAAACCATAGACTTTAGGGTTGAGGCAGCATCGGGTGAATGGATGCTACTATTGATGGGTGGATCTTGACTTACACTTGTGTTAATGCCATATTAGAACGGAAAAGCTTTTCAGGGATTTTCCCAGATAGTTTGTTTCTACTAAGAATCCTGTCAGGAAAATAAAATTAGACAATTCAAAGGAAAAACCAGAAAACAAGGAAAATGCAAGACTTCAGAGATCAATTATACTTACAACTGTTTCAAATTATGAAGAAGGTCCAATCCTGGAAGGAAGTGCGTTGATACCGGAATATATCCTGTCAATTGATTATCTGACAAGTCAAGCCATTGCAACTTGCTGAGAGCACCCAAAGAACGAGTATCCAACCGGTGAAGTTATTGCCACTCAGAGAACTGTTTAAGGAAGTAGCAGAAGAAATTTATAGGAACATAACTCCCTGTAACTTAAAATATATGTAGAAAATGCTTTGTATGGAGGTCTTACAGAAAGGACAATTCTGCAAGGTTACCCAAAGAACGTGGAATCCAACCAATGAAGCTACAATGCTGTAGGATTCTAATAACAGAAAGAAAATAATTAACAAAAAATGTAATATCTCTTTAATGTGTGGACAAGAATTGTAAGCTAAAACAAGAATGCTGTGGCACAACAGCATTCAAATCCTACTGCATCTTACAAGGTCTCTAGCTTCTTTAGATCTCCAATCTGTGGAGTGAGTAAACCTGAAAGTTTCCGATTAAAAGAAAGATGCCTGCAACACATTCAAAAACTGAGCTACATCAATGAAGTTACAAGGGTGCTGTCTACCTGATAAGTTAATGAGTATCAAGATTCAGATCTATAAAAGAAAAATAGGAAATAAAAAAGGAATTAAATTGCAATAATCAATGATATTGATGAAGGTCAAGACAAATTTTGCTTACAATCCAGTCACCCTCGAGTTGCTGCAGGTGACACCTTCCCAGGGAGCTCCACAAGGATCAGCTGACGTACTCCAGCTTGGAGGAGTATTTTGCCACTGTTCTCTAAACGAGAGAAGTACCGCAGCTGCAAGAAGCCATTTCTTTAGTTACAGTAGCCCTTGACTGTCTTGTAGTCCTGAAACTAGAACTTTTTGAACACACCTGACACTATATATTCCAGCAGCAAGCATTAACTAGAACTTGTAAAAGTTAAGTCAGTCAACTTTCATCTAGAAGGCTAAAAATTGATGTTTAATTATCACAGATTACCAAAACAAATTATCCAATTCTAGCTCCAGTCAAACACGGTGAAATGGTTCAAAAATATGAAACTAAATTTACACAGAAACAATATGTCTCACTTGATCTCGTATACGAACTTAATTGGCCTAAATCTTATACAATACTTTGAGTTAAGATAAAGGGCCCAAAATAAAAGCTACTTTACCATCAATGGGGTCTGTCTCCGAGGAAATTGAATGATATGCTACAGAGAAGATCAGATAGCAGAGTAGTAGACGGATTGCTTCCATGGCTTAAGACTTCCTTCAACAACCAATTAAGATGTTTAGGCTATCTTTGGTTGCATTCCGTGCATTATGGGCTGGTCTTATATAGGATCACCTGGGAAGTCTCGGACAAAACAACGAACCTGATCATAACATTCACTTCATGTGGACCTGATAATGAAATAGATGTGAAGTAACCAATCGAAACTAGAAAACAAATTTATTTGCAGGAATTGATATTGCTAAATTTTTTGTGTTTGTTTTGTTTAAATGTACTTTCCCAGAATTGTGTACACAAGTATACACCAAAGTAAGCCAGAAGAGTTTGTTCCTTTCATTGACAAAAGTTAAAACAAAGAGAATGTTCCACTAGAAATAAGGCCAGATTTTGGGATATCTAGTATAATTGTCAAAACTCTATATAACAGGTGATATGTACTATGGACGTTCGAATTCAAGGGCTGCACACAAGTTGAGTCGAATCATGTTTTGGCGTAATCGAGTCGAATCTCGACTCAGTTTTATTCAAACTCAACTTTGAACTCGATGAACTCTTAATGTAAAACTCGAGCTCAATCTTGACCTCAAATTCAAGCCAAGTCAAACTCGAGTTCGAGCCTAATCGACCTTGAAAAAATAAAAAATAATTATTTTATTTTTAAAAAATAAAAAACAGTAATTTTTCTTTAAAAAATAATAAAATATTATAGATATATATGCAATTTCATTATTAAAATAAAAATAAAAAATATATAATCAAGCGATTCGCAAGTTAACAAGCTTTTTTTTTTGTGCTCGATCTAGAACTCGACTTGGTTTGCTTGAGTTCGACTTGAGTGCAATGTTGATCGAGCTCGAGTCAAGATTTAATCAAATCGCTCATGAGTGATTTGACTCGTTTGCTGCCCTGATGAGAGTAGGAACCAAAATCCAATTTAAAGTTTCAAGTGCTCGGTTTTTTCCCATACAATATCACTATGATTATTATTATTTGTTTGAAAAATCACTTAGTAAATATAAGTAAAAAGAAAATTAGAATTGTTGTTATTTAAGATTGGCAAGCATCTGCCAAGAATAATTTTTTTGAAATATTTATTGAAATAATTACTGTAGCACTTTTTGTGATGTGATATATGTGAGATAAAAAGGTGGTTGAAAATTGTGTTTGTGAGTAAGTAGAACAAAATTTTAATTTTTTTTTTTGCAAATCTTGATAACTAAACATACCTATTATGTGCCTTTTTTACAGGTTAGAAACAAAAGTTTTCCTTTCGCAGAAGATTACTGTCAAGGTTGATGTCGAACTAGGCAAACCATGAGTAACAAAAGTAAAAATATCTTCTTGTTATGAAATAATGATATGATAGATACATGTATTCTCCCTAAATTTATTGGTACATTGGATGAAACCATTTATAGATGTACTTGAAGTACTAAATTCATGTATTAGTATTTAATAGGGTTCATGTACTTTTGCTCTTGGATCACCTATAAATAGGGGTGAATCCTACTTCATTTGTAACCTCGAAATACTTTGATTAGTTAATAGAATAATACTATAGTTCTTCTCTCTCTCCCCGCTTCTTACTCTACTATTCTAATCCCTACTTTTGGTAGTTAATTTTATTAGTTTCACAACGTATTATCAGCACGAGTCTCTACTTCTGAGTATAAGTAAAACATGAGACGCTGTCAAGGTTCTGTCCAAACAACTTTTGACTATTTATCGAGGTGAAATTCTTTCCTACGAATCTATTGCATATTCTTATGGCTAATCTCACAAAACAAGAGTTTGTACCCCTTGATATTTTTGGAAAAAATTATTTATCGTGGGTATTAGATGTTGAAATTCATCTTGAGGCAATGGGTTTTGGGAATACTATTGTTGAAGAGAATGATGCCTTAAACCAAGACCGGGCTAAGGCCATGATTTTCCTTCGTCATCATTTAGATGAAGGATTAAAAGTAGAGTATCTTACTGTCAAAGATCCTCCTGTCCTTTGGCAAGATTTGAAAAAAAGATTCGACCACCCGAAATTGGTCGTTCTTCCGAAAATTCGATATGATTGGCTTCATTTATGACTACAAGATTTTAAATCTGTCAACGAATATAATTCAGCCATGTTCAGAATTACTTCTTAATTATCATTGTGTGGCAAAAAAGCCACCGATGAAAATATGTTAGAGAAGACATTTTCTACTTTTCATGTATCTAACATGCTCCTGCAGCAGCAATATCGAGAGAAGGCATTTAAAAAATATTCTGAACTTATCGCATGTCTTCTGTTGGCTGAACAAAATAATGAATTATTGCTGAAAAATCATGATTCTCGACCAACTGGTGCAAGTCCATTCCCTGAAGCGAATACGACTCAATTTCAACATTCCGGTCGAAGTCGTGGACGTGGCCGTAGAGGTGGCCGTGGAAGAGGCTGTGGACGTGGCCGTGGCCATAGACGTGATCGTAATAGATTTGTGCCCCATGAAAATTATAACCATGGCAAGCACCAAAATATTTTCCAAAAGAGGAAAAATAACTACGATCCGAAAAATGGAGAAAAGAAAGTTTATGAAGAAAAATGCTACCGGTGTGGTATGGAAGGTCACTGGTCCCGTACCTATCGTACGACTGAACATCTTGTTGACCTCTATCAAGTATCATTGAAAAAGAAGGACAAAGGTGTTGAGACAAATTTCATTGATCAAAAGAATAATTATGATGATGGTGATGATGTTGATATGACACACCTCGATGTAGCTGATTTCTTTCAACATCCTGAAGATGTCAACAAATATCCCATGATTGTTTAGATATTTTTATGATGCTTTATAATTTTTTTTTCATTCAATATTTATTTTCGCATCTTTATTAATTTTTATTTTTTGTTTGAATTTTTCTTCCTGAAGAAGAAATGAATGCTAAATATTTGGGATCAAATAATGGTGATGATGACATTTGTCTCATTGATAGTGCTTTTACGCACACCATATTGAAAAATAAAAAATATTTTTCTTGTTTAAAAATGGGAGAGACAAATGTTAATACCATCAGTGGTAATGCAAAATTGATTGAGGGTTCCAGAAGAGTCACTCTATTTCTCCCTGAAGGGACTAAAATTATCGTAAATAATGCACTATTCTCTCCCAAGTTTCGGAGAAACTTATTGAGTTTTAAAGATATCCGCGATAATAGATATCACATCGAGACAATGAATGAGACAAATAGTGAATTTTTATTAATTACAAATACTATTTTTGGGGAAAATGTGTATTAGAAAAATTGCCTTCTCTTTCTTCTGGCTTATATTATGCACAAATAAGTGCTATTGAAATTCATCACCTAGCAGACCAGAAGTCTGCTCATCCCAATGATTTTATGATTTGGCATGATCGTCTCGGACATCCTGGGACGAATAATTGAGAATTCACATGACCACTCATTGAAAAATCAAAAAATCTTAAAATCAAATGAATTCTCCTGTGTTGCTTGTTCTCAAGGAAAATTAATTGTTAGACCATCACCAGCTAAAGTTGGGACTGAATCTCCCACATTTTTAGAATGAATTCATGGTGATATATGTGGACCTGTAGATCCACCATGTGGACCATTTCGATATTTTATGGTGCTAATTGATGCATCAATTAGATGGTCACATGTATGTTTGTTATCTACTCGCAATATAGCGTTTGCGAGATTGTTTGCTCAGATAATTAAATTACGAGCATAGTTTCCTGATTATCCAATTAAAAGAATTCGTCTAAATAATGTTGTGAATATTCGTCACATGCCTTTGACGTGTATTGCATGTCCATTGGAATAACTGTTGAACATCCTGTAGCCTATGTTCACACACAAAATGGTCTAGTCGAATCATTTATTAAAAGGCTTCTATTAATTGTTAGACCATTGTTGATGAGTTCTAAACTTCCCTTATCTGCTTGGGAACATGCTATATTACATGCAGCAACACTTGTGAGAATCAGGCCGACTAGTTATCATTATTATTCTCCCCTACAATTAGTATTTGGTTCTGAGCCCAATATTTTTCATTTACAAATATTTGGGTGTGTGATTTATATTCCTATTGCACTGCCCCAACGTCGTAAATTGGGCCTTCAAAAACAATTAGGAATATATGTCGGGTATGAATCACCTTCTATAGTTCAGTATATTTTGCCATTGACAGGTGATTTATTTACTGTAAGATTTGCAGATTGTCATTGTGATAAACCACTTTTCCCAACATTAGGGGGAGGAACAGTTCAACTGAAAAAGGAAATCATATGAAAAATTTCATTGAATTTCCTAGATTCTCGTACAAAAGAATGTGAACTGGAAGTTCAAAAGATCATACATTTGCAAAATATTGCAAATCAATTACCGGATACATTTAGTGACTCTAGAAGAGTCACCAAATCACATATTCCTGCTGAAAATATTTCGATAAAAATAAATGTCCCTGAAAGACAAATCACAAGTGCTAATGAATCTAAAGCACGCCTGAAGCGTGGGAGACCTCTTGGTTCTAAAGATAAAAATTCTCAAAAGAAAAAAGGATCAAATGAATCAATAACTAGTGACAAAATTCAACATCCTGAAGAGATCGCTCTTGAAGGGCCAGCTCCCGAAGAGCCAACTTCTGAAGAGAATAAAGTTATAGAAAATTCAATAAACTTTGTCACTACAAGAAAAAGTTGGAACCGAAGAGAAATAATTGTTGATAGTACTTTTGTATATAATGTAGCACTTGATATTATGATAGATGACGAGAATCATGAACCTAAATCAGTTGATGAATGTCGGCATAGAAATGATTGGCCAAAATGGAAAGATGCGATACAATCTGAATTAGATTCACTGGCTAAAAGGAATATTTTTGGACCTGTAGTCCAAACATCTAAAGATGTAAAGTCAATTGGATATAAATGGAATTTTGTGAGGAAAAGAATGAAATTGTGAGATATAAAGCAAGACTTGTAATCCAAGAATTTTCACAAAAGCTTGGATTTGATTACGATGAAACGTATTCACCTGTAATGGATACGATCACATTTAGGTATCTTGTGAGTATTGCAGTGCATGAAAAACTTGATATGCGTCTGATGGACGTTGTCACTACTTATTTGTATGGAAATTTTGAAAATGATATTTACATGAGAATCCCTGAAGGATTCAACATGCCTGAAACATGTAAATCAAATCTTAGAGATGTGTATTTTATTAAAATACAAAAGTCTTTGTATGGGCTCAAACAATCTGGACGTATGTGGTATAATCGCCTCAATGAATGCTTAACTAAAGAAGGTTATACCAATGACCCAATGTGTCCATGTGTTTTTATCAAGAAAAATGGGTCAAATTTTGTGATTATTGCTATATATATTGATGATCTCAATTTGATTGGAACTCCTAAAGAGATCCAAAAGGCTGTCTAATATTTGAAGAAAGAATTTGAGATCAAAAATTTTGGAAAGACAAAATTCTGCCTTGGTTTACAAATTGAACATTTAGAAAGTTGAATTTTTATCCACCAAACTGCTTATACCCAGAAGGTATTAAAGCGGTTCCGTATGGATAAATCACATACATTAACTACCTCAATAGTTTTCAAATCATTGGATCCTAATAAGGATCCCTTTGAGCCACGAGAGGAATATGAAGAGATACTTGGTCCTGAAGTACTATATCTCAGTGCAATTGGTGCACTTATGTATCTTGCTAACTGTACAAGGCCAGATATATCATTTGCTGTGAATTTATTAGCAAGATTTAGTTCATTGCCTACAAAACGACATTGGAATGGTACTAAACACATTTTTCGCTATCTCCAAGGAACAATTGATCTTGGTTTGTTTTATTCAAATAAATCTAAACCTGAGTTGCTTGGATTTACTGAACCTAGGTATTTATCTGACCCATATAAAGCACGATCTCAAATTGGCTATCTCTTTACTTGTGGCGGAACAACCATTTCTTTGCGTTCTACAAAACAATTCTTAACTGCTACTTCATCAAATCATGCTAAAATAATAGCAATTTATGAGGCCAGTCGAGAATGCGTTTGGCTAAGATCAATGACCCACTACGTCCGGAAGAATTGTGGGTTATCCTCCGAGAAGAAAAATCTTCCAACAATTTTATATGAAGATAATGCAACTTGTATAACTCAATTAAAAGGAGGATATATTAAAGGAGATAGGATGAAACACATTTCACCGAAATTCTTCTTTACTCATGATTTACAGAAGAATGGTGAAATTGATGTGCTACAAATCCGATCAGATAATAATTTGATGGATATGTTTACCAAGGCATTGCCGACTGCTACATTTGGGAAACTGATAAAGAATATTGGGATGCGTCGGCTAAAAGATCTCATATAATATTTGCATCAGGGAGAGAATTTATTACACAAGAATAGTGTACTCTTTTTCCTTCACTAGGGTTTTTGTCCCACTGGATTTTTCCCTAGTAAGATTTTAATGAGACATATTCTTTGTGTAATGGACATTCAAGGGAAAGTGTTATGAAATAATGATAAGATGTGGATGTCCGTTGATATTCTCAAGATGTGGATGTCTGTTGATATTCTCAAGATGTGGATGTCCGTTGATATTTTCAAGATGATAGATACATGTATTCTCCTTAGATTCATTGGTACATTGGATGAAGCCATTTATGGATGTACTTGAAGTACTAAATTCATGTATTAGTATTTAATAGGTTTCATGTATCTTTGATCTTGGATCACCTATAAATAGGGGTGAATCCTACTTTATTTGTAACCTCGAAATACTTTGATCAGTGAATAGAATAATACTATAGTTCTTCTCTCTCCCCCCGCTTCTTACTCTACTATTCCAATCCCTACTTTTGATAGTTAATTTTATTAGTTTCACAACACTTCTTATGAAAAAAGAATGTACATAACCCAAACGGTTTACTTAAAAGATTAATGCCTTTTATATCACGTCTAAGGAGAGATAAGAATGGATAGTCCTTAATTCGGCCTCCCATACTATTGGTGGGGTAAAAATCAATTGAGTAACAGCATTTGAAAGATAGTAAATTGTAATGAGGTTCTTTTGAAATGGGTTGTTGAATGTCTTTTGAAATTTGAAAGCGATAGTTTACATTTGGGCCGCATTAGGGCTGCTTGTGATCAAGTTAATAGCGTCTTAAAGTTACCGAGGCCCTATTTCAAAAAACCCAGAGGTAATAAATAATGGATTAATCTTTCCTACACACAATGTCAGCGTTTGATGAATGACAACTCTGCAAAATTTGAATTTAAAATTTAATTTTTGTACATGTGTCATGGATCCAACGGTGATAGTATATGCACTGTCAGTGTATATAAGATTTACTCATAAATAATACACAATTTTTATTTAGGGGGGATTTGGTAAGTATTTTTAGCGACAAATGGATTTTAAAATTGATCACACCCATACAAATGTTTTGGTTAAAGTCAATAATAATGAATCAATGGATATGAAAAGACTCATTTTATTTGGTTTCATAATTAAATATTATTCTAAATTCTAATGGAAGCCAATGTTTTAAAAACCGGACCGTTAATTGAACCAGTGAAGTGAAAGGGCCGAGGTTCAACCGGTCGGACCGGTTCAACCTCGGTTCAATGAATTTTTTAAAACATTATTTATATAAATATATATATGTACAAAATAAGACATGTAATGGATTAATTTAATACTTTATATGATGAAAGGTTTACTATTTTTTAATAACTTGGATTTTTTAAAAATAAATTTTTTAAATTATAAGTTAAAACAAATAAATTTCATCT